CTGGTTTAAGCTGGATTTTTCAGCAGGGAAGAGTCTCGCATTAACGCAGCATGTTAACGTAGATAACGGCCCACCACTACTTAAAATAAAAACATAATGCAAAAACACATACAATTAACAACGACTTTAGAAAGCAAAAATAAAATCTGAAATCCTGGACAATCCCCACATCCTGTGGGTCTCTGGAGAGCAATTGAGTCAGTGGGACTGTTGACAGGTTTCGCGCACACACAAGTAGGAAACGTGTAGGGTTGGAGAAGATTTCTAACTGTTTAATCAATTGTGGATGTATGAAGTACATATAAAAGTATAAAAGGATTAGGGTTGGGCCGATAGACGATGCCATCGTCCACCGCCGATAGCCGACAGACAACATGATGCTGAGCCGGCATTGCGATTCTCCGCCCCCGTTGCAAATCCGCTCGCAAAAAATACACACTCAGGTCCTGTTTACACTAATAGGTCTTAGTTTTTAAATGGCATTTTAGAACGAAAACGATCCACGATCTGGCGTTTTCCCTAGCATTTCTGAGCAGCCCTCTTTCCTTCCACATCACCGCTGAAAACGCGCATCACGTGACCACACACACACAGGCACAGACACACACATTGTCATGCACTCGAGACAGCGGGTCCAGGCAGACAGCGGGTCAGTAGACTGGTTCAATCATTCGCTTTCACGCTTGAGCTTAGTAATTTTAGCGAAAACCTCAGATAATATTGGTTGATTTCTGTTGGTAGTCAACCTTTTTTACCAACCAAGTTTGTCAACGCCATTATAACGACACAGATCACTCTGCCTATTCACGAGTCCCGCTAAAAAAGTGATTGACAGGTGGCAATTATGAGTGTAACTTATCTTTATTCATTTATGGATAAAACAAAGACCATGCGGGTCTGATAGTTAAAACTGTAGGCTACAAATAATTAATTATGAATTACTCATAATAATTAATTATTATTAATAATCATTCATAATTAATTCACCGCCGCTTATGACGACGACGCCATCATCCATCACAATGTTTCATATTAGACATCGTACGATGCCAAATTGGTCGACAAATATCCTTGGCCGTTCATATACCTGGGTAATATACCTGGACAAGTTAAGTCTATGTGTGGGAAGCACTGAGATATCCTATTAAAATAACAATAAACACAAAATACACTATTATATAGACCTTTTTCTTGGAACGCAAAATTACCCATTATGCTTTGCATGTATGCGCAAGGAGAATGCGAAGAACTTCCGGTCGGGAGCTGATGCGTGTAAACAGTCACATTTGGACAGCTTTGAAACGATAGTTTTAATCTATTTTACCTGCTTTTATCCTCTTTGAACTAATACTGTTGTCCATCAGCACCATCTCCTGGACTGATCATTTAAAGAAATGCGATCTAATAGGATGGAAAACAGCTGCTGTGAGGCATTTTCCCCTCGTTGTCAGACAGCATCTTCTGCAGTTTAAATAAAGCCTTGTCATCGCTAAAGTCAACAGTTTCTCTTTATTTCAAGTATATAACCAGCCCAAACAAATGTAGTTCACCAAAATGTTTGACACACACACGTAGCCTGTACTGTGCCACTGACACACTGATTTAATAACTGTGACAAAGTAAAAATATAGGCTAGTGTCATTTCGAAATGACAGAAAAACACAAACCGTGGTGAATACAACACACGAAATAAAACACAAACGGCTCGCAATTAGAATGAACAGCAAATCAGCCAGCAGAGGATCAATAACAGACCTTTATAGGTCATTTTTGTTAATTGCACGACTTTCATACCTGTTAAGTTTCATGCCAGTACTCTGGTTTGCTCTCTCTCTCTCTCTCTCTGTGTGCGTGTGTGTGTTAAAGCGCCGCTGAGCTAACAGCTGACAGGCTGTCAGCACACACTGTATTTCTGAAGGCAGACACGTGAAGTAGGAGAACGTTTTTCTCGTATTTCTGACGCGCTTGACGCATGTGACAGATTATAACGGCTTTAACAGACACATTTCTAAGTTGCGTGTCAAAAAAACACTCTGTTATCCATCAAAAACGTTATTGAAACCCATTTTCGGAGCGCAAATTACCAGTTGTACACGCTGTAAACGGAAGTTTTTAGCATTCTACCGGAAGACGCTGGTCGCTATGGCGCCCTCCATGCAGCAGCCATGAAAAAGGTCTATACTTAAGCCTATATACACTGTTGGTTATATTTTTATAATATTGTCCAAAATAAAACCGTGAAACCTTATTTCTATTGAATTATAACGATTTCGTTTTTTTTAATACATGTTATTTGTTTCATTTGATGACATAGATCCTTCAGCTGCAAATGTTAGCATCTAACTGCTAACAATGCAAAGGAAAGATAATTAATATTGGCAATTAATAAAACATGCCTACATCATCAGCAGAATTTCATACCCTGTATTCCTGAATCCTCCTCTTAGATTCCTCAAGTTGACGTTGGAGGTCTCCAACTATCTCTGTATATCTGGCGTAGCGCAGCTCCACCATCTCTCTCTGCCTCTGCGACTCCTGTAATGACAGAAGCCAACCATGATATCTGCCCTGGAAAGAGTTCAACACTCATACACCTATTATCCAACCTCGAGATCTTTGAAGTTTTCCAGCAGACTTAGTTTCTCAGGAACTGACTCCAGATGGTCCAAGGCCAGTTTGGTGCTCTGGAAAAGAATAATAGGGGCAACCTTTAGGACATTCTTTTACTTATACTTAAAAACCCATTTTAGTGTTTCCCCTTTCGCTGCAGGTGATCTGAAAAAAGTGCTTTTACAAAACGAGTAATGGGTCAGTTTCTGTGTCAGTTTCTGTGTTGTTTTCGCATGCTATTATGATATAGGTGTATAGACAGAGCATTGAATTAAGCCTGATGGATTTAGGAGTCAATTCAATGTGTCAGAGGCAGATATTAGTCATATTGGTTATTTTATGTGCTAAGCACCAGATTATTTTTAAATTGCAAAGAAAAAAAAAAAAAAAAAACACTAGTGGTGGCCATTAACATGCTGCGTTATCGCGTGACTCTTATCGTGCAATAAAAAAAAAAATTATATATATATCGCCGTTAATCTATACTCAAAGTTGGGTGGGAATTGGGTCTATTCTACGCAAGTTATGATGACTTTCACCTTGACATTTTAGTGTGGATGTATACCTGACCGGTGGGCTGTCTGACAAAAAAGTGCCCTTCTGGATGTTTCACGTACTTTGAAGACACTACTGACAACGTTTACATGGACATCTGTAGTCTAGTTATTTGCCTTAATAGACGATAATATAATTAGGTGTTTACGTGAAGGGCTTTCATGAAAGAGTTTCCTGTAATTTTGGGTGACTTAAGCTGCAGTTTGGCAGTTTCACTTTAACTTATGAACATTTCATTCATGCCCCCGTGACAAACTGGGGTATTAGATGCAAATAAGGAGTAAGGATTGGTGAGAGTGTTATGGAATTTAATAATGCATGCTGAATGGCAAAAAAAACTTCTACATATTGCGATGTGTGTGTGGTCCTTTGCTGACAGCCGCGTGTGTGGATCTTGTCGGAAAACATGGTGACAAGTCCTACATGATGGTAATAGTTTGATCGCGGTGTTTACTTCAATAATGCCACTAATATCTGCATACTCCACGTTTTAATTCCATTTCTGTTTAGTTCAGTGAAGACTTTAGTTGGATTAAGGTCATCAAAAAAACGCTGTTTGGAGCTTATGTTGGCCTACAGTTGAAAATTCATGTTTAACTGAATAAACAGGAAACACAAGTACATCTTATTGAATATAATTTATTTTCATCACCAATTATCATAGTAGAACAGTTTTTTAAGCAGTTTGTGATGCAATTCTGAAACAGGAGATGAGCCCCTGGACTAATGCGCCACCTGGCTTGAGAAATCATTCTCAAAGACTTATATTTAGTAATTATTTGGGTAGCACAAATATTCTGAATGCCTTCGGCAGAATTCAAATGAGCCATTTTAATTTAGATTAATTCCAAGATTCCAGTGAGATTAGTTTAGATTAAAAAAAATAATCTATGCCCACCTATAAAAAAACCATAAGATGTAGGATTTTAAAAATGTTTAATTTCCAATGCAATGATGGCAGAACTAGACAAAGATGATGCAAAATCTTAGTCTATCTGCTGCATTTTAAATCAGATGAAGTGTGTTAATTAGACCTACAGGGCTACCACCTTGTAAGCACATTACAATAATTTAGCCTTGAAGCCATAAATGCATGGATGAGCTTTTCTGCATTAGATATTGATAGCATCATTGTTGTAGTCTCCTAATATTTATACAATTAAATATACCTAGCACTTAGTAATTCCTACAGACCAAACTCAAACTCATTTTTTTATAGGACCCCTAGAAAATGTGGTATCTTCACAAGTGTGTGTTTTTTTATTTTTTGGAATAACAATAATTTGTAATATGTCATAGCAGTGAAAGTGCTCAAATAAGAGCTTACAAATTGAGTTGTCCTTATAATTATCAATTAGTGTTAAACCTCAACCTCACTGCTTAAGTTGATACTATCAACCACAGCAATCTCTAAGACAGGGTTGAAAATGGCATGGCATTGACTTGCAATCCTACTTATTTGACTGTTATCAATTTGAATCAGTAAATACAGTGTTATCATATCAATAAGTTTGGTATGTAGTTTTGCAACCACTGCTTTTTCCACTGTAGGATACAGTGTAGTAGTAGTGAGATGTGTGAAATTAAACTGAAACTGAAAAACAGGCGTTTCAAAAGTTTGGCCACCCTCTCTTTTGTGTGAATTTCAAAACCAATAGTCACTTAAAGGGGAAATGGAGCACTCAGTCAAGTTTACATTATTTTGTACATTGGATTTCACTTTAATAAAAATATATCAAGCAAACTTGATTAATGTAACCATTTAGAAGAAAACGGCATGTTTTACTATAGCTTTTAGACCTAGGGCGCCTCCATCTTGTGTCTGACATCACAGGGTTGGTTCCGTTCCCTCAGCTGAACAGTTGCAGTGGAAGTAATGTACTGAATACAGAGACTGTATTAAAGCCTACTTTAACCCAATTCGTGAAGTTGTGGGCATGGAGCAGTTGGCGTTTCTGTGTGGAGTTTGCATGTTCTCCCCGTATTCGCGTGGGTTTCTCCTGGGTGCTCCAGCTTACCTCACAGTCCAAAGACATGCAGTACAGGTGAATTGGGTGGGCTAAATTGTCCGTAGAGTACGTGTGTGAATAAGTGTGTATAGAAGAGATAGGTTGTAGCTGCAAGGGCATCCGCTGTGTAAAGCATATGCTAGATAAGTTGGTGGTTCATTCTGCTGTGGCGACCCCAGATTAATAAAGGAGCTAAGCCGAAAAGAAAATGAATGAATGAATATTTATTCTATTTTTCTTTTATTCCCATTTAATTGCCGATCATTTAATAGGCTTTGCTCCACTCTCATAAGTCAAATGTTAGACTTTTTAAGACCTTTTTAAGACCATCAAGAATAAAATTTCAGACTTCTATAGGGCTAAATGCTAAGGATTTTCTTAAGGATGCTAAGGTCAGCAGAAAATTTTTTTTTTTACTTGCCCCATCAAGAAACAATTTCTAATTAGTAAATTTTTTGTCACATATTTTAAATATTGTGTCAAATTAAACAGAAATGCAGTTTTTTCAACTTAAAAAAAAAACTGTAAAACTTTAATAAACTAAATGTTGGCACAACAGACTGTTATAACATTAGTTATAATTAGAGTTTTGCTAAAAGGTTTATTAAGATGTATTACCAATAACTGGGTAGGTTTAAGTAAACAAAGGAAAATTAAGTAATTTAATCGTTTTTAAAGCCTAAAGTTTCGTTTTTTAAATATTTAAGACAATTAAAGACTTTTTAAGACCCTGCGGACACCCTGATACTATATATGTATGCATATATGTGTGTATGTATGTACAGTTGAAGTCAGAATTATTAGCCCCCCTGAATTATTAGGCCCGTTTATTTTTTCCCCCAATTTCTGTTAAACGGACAGCAGATTTTTGTCAACACGTTTCTAAACATATTAGTTTTAACAACTCATTTCTAATAACTGATTTATTTTATCTTTGCCATGATGACAGTACATAATATTTTACTAGATATTTTTTAAGACACTTCTTATACAGCTTAAAGTGACATTTAAAGGCTTAACTAGGTTAATTAGGTTAACTAGGCAGGTTAGGGTAATTAGGCAAGTTATTGTATAACGATGGCTTGTTCTGTAGACATTCAGGAATAAAATATAGCCTAAAGGGGCTAATAATTTTGTCCTTAAAATGGTGTTCAAAAAAAATAAAAACTGCTTTTATTTTAGCCGAAATAAAACAAATAAGGCTTTCTTCAGAAGAAAAAATATTATTAGACATACTATGAAACTTTCCTTGCTCTGTTAAACATAATTTGGGAAAGATTTAAAAAAAGAAAAAATAAATAAATAAATCAAAGGGAGGCTAATAATTCTGACTTCAATTGTGTGTGTGCATGTGTGTGCATATTTAATATAAAAACAAATCTTAACAGCTTAGTTTTATAATCAAGCCCTAAAGGGAAAATAAAAACCTTACCGTTTCAAGATCTATAATACGGTCCTAAAAAACAAAAACAGAGATTAATTTGGATGAGTACATGCATATTCCAGGAAAAAAAAAATTGAGGATTCTAATTCATCATTCAAAAGCAGCACCCAAAAATTCAGAGTCAAGTTTAATTATTGCCGCTGCATCCTATTGTCTGAAACATGCCGCTTGTCACATTTCATCCCCATCCAAGAGACTGAGTCATAAAAGTGGTATGAAAACAGGTGCCTCTACAGCACTGCAGGGGAGGGCAAACTCGGTCCTGGAGGGCCAGTGTCCTGCACAGTTCAGCTCCAACACTAATCAAACACACCTGAACAAGGTAATCAGTGTCTTCAGTGTGTTTGATTAGAGTTGAAGCTAAACTGTGCAGGACAACAGCCCTCCAGGACCGAGTTTGCCCACCCCTGAACTATTGCAATATAGACAAGCAGGGGTAAGATTGTGTAAGTGCATAACTGCAGAATGCAGAACAACGGACATGTACTGTATGCACGATTACATGGGGGGGGCACAGAAGTAAATGACTAACTATAATGGCTAACTAACTATATAACTTGTGTTTGTGTACACTCACAGGATAATGACATTCATATAAACTCTCTTACACTAACCTGAAGATTTCTCAACTCATCTTCTTTCTTGCGACCTTTTTCAAGAAGGCCTGGAAGACAATATTAATGTGTATTAATGAGCAACAAAGTAATAAGGTGAATATTTTACTTTACTTCACGCCAAACCTGTGACATTTTCTTCCCACCTTTTTGAAAGACCGAAAATATATATATAATAAAAGTATTGCATACCTTACTTGCCTTGCACATTTTTATTTAGCTGGAAAACAAAGCAATGATTGATTTGTTTTATATAAATTGCACACTATGCTAACTAGGCATAAAATATACAGACCATAACTGACTTTTAAGATTTTGACTACACTAATATAAACATTTAAAAATAAATACATTCATAAGATTCAATTATTGTGGTCAAATCACCAAGGACTCAAAGTGATAAAGTATTACAAAGTTAAGCATGTGGCTATATTGATGATGGTTTGGGTTGCAACATAATGGCACTGCCTAGGCCCCATATTTGTGCTGGATGGGCTCTGCCAAGATCGACCGAATCATTCTGGAGGACCATGAGCATCCAATGGTTCAAACAAATATATATATACAGTTGAAGTCAGAATTATTAGCCCCCCTTTGAGTTTTTTCAGAGCAAGGAATTTTTCACAGTATGTCTGCTAATATTTTTTCTTCTGGAGAAAGTCTTTTTCTCCAAAAGCAGTTTTTAAACTTTTAAAAGCCATTTTAAGGTCAAAATTATTAGCCCCTTTAAGCTGTATTTTTTTCGATAGTCTACAGAACAAACCATCATTATACAATAGCTTGCCTAATTACCCTAACCTGCCTAGTTAACCTAATTAGTTAAGCCTTTAAATGTCACTTTAGGCAGTATAGAAGTGTCTTGAAAAATATCTAGTCAAATATTATTTACTGTCATCATAGCAAAGATAAAATAAATCAGTTATTAGAAATAAGTTATTAAAACTATTATGCTTAGAAATGTGTTGAAAAAATCTTCTCTTCGTTAAACAGAAATTGGGGAAAAAAATAAACGGGGACGAATAATTCAGGGGGCTAATTCTGACAGTCACATGCTCAGAAGAACATAATCGGCTGTGTGTCCTTTTATTGTTTACGAGGCTGTCTAAAAGTATTTGGAAAGCGTGAGTGGTTCAACTTTTTTATTACTCACTATTTGCATGCACTCGCCATACGTCTACAATTTAAATAATGAACTTGAGCTCATGATAATAATTTGCGCATGACTACTGAAGTGCAGCTGCTCATATTCTTTCAGAAACTGCCAAACCAACTGTAACTCTTTATCATCGCCTTTTGGACTATTATGAACTTGGAATGACGGAATTACTTTCTAAGAGGTTACATGCACTGGTGTAGAAAAAAAGGTGCAGATGAGAGGATGCACTGACTGTACAGTATATGTTTTGTGTTGTTCTAAATATTTGAATTTGTATATTTGATTTCTCTGTAATTTGTAACATTTTGGAGACTGCAAGAGTCGGTGTGTTCATATATATTTTATTTATTTATTTATTTAATATAATTGTACACGTTACTGTAGGCTATTTTGCAAAATCATTGATCTGCAGCTATAATCAACTCCTGTTTATAGTAAGATTAGTATTTAATATGTACAGTATACTTAAGTATTTATATATATATATATATATATATATATATATATATATATATATATATATATATATATATATATATAAAGCATCTGTATTGTGAGAAGTGCTTCTCATATGACATGTAAATGACTCGTACAGCTTTATTTTACATTTCTTTGAGCGAGAATTGCGTTGATGGCAAGTTTCTGTCTAACACCACACCTATAAAAGGGTACCATTTGGCAGTGGAGACACAAACCTGATAAAGGCGACCCATACCGAACCGTACCAAACTGGAACGTACCACTCAGAGGAAAGGAGGCATTTGTTAGAAATACTTCTGTTTTATGTTTATTTATATAGTACCTTTTTTTTACTTATAACAATATATTTTCACATCGACAATAATTTATCTTGTTCAAATGGACTATGAACAGAAGCTATGGTAATTATTTTTATTGCACTCTATTTCCACCATCATTAGCTGATACAGCTAATAGCTAATTAAAATTATTAGTAACTACTAAATAAATTGTAACTAATAGCCTCCACTTTTGTAATTAAATAATGTGCACATTTTGTAAAGCTACTTTGGTTTTAATTTGATTTTACTATCTGTGCTGTAGTGTGAGGCCCAATAAATTCGGATCTAGTGATCAGTTTTCTGAGCCAAGTTAGTACCTCTCTTCTCTGATTGGATGTCATTGAGAAGCCGTTCCTGCATGGCAATTTGGTCCAGGAGCCTCTGCAATTCTAAATCTTTGGATTCTTTCAGGGTTTTCATTTGCTCCTTGTGGTGCTGAAGTATTCTCCTCAACCTCTTCTCTCTGGCCTCCCGTTCCCGCACCTCTTCACATAACCACTGAAGCTTTGTCTAAATACACACAACCAAATCGAAAATAAATTTCTTTTACAACACAAAAATGCTTGAATTATAATAAACTGCTTGCATTTAAAAACAATTGACAAATTTAAGTTCAAGACTTTATCCTTACTACAAATACCTGTTTGATTAATTCAAATGTATGCAGTATGAACGCCAAGACTATTTCTGGTGATGAAAACTTTTAAAAAGATAAAAAAAATAAAGGACAATAATTTTATTCTAGATTTTTTTTGTTTTCAGCCAATGTTATTGAAGATGGTTTCATAAGCCTGATTTCTGACCATCAGTGTACGCTTAAAGGCGCTGTGTGTAAGATTTGACTCTTCTAACGCAGAAAAATACCATATGTTTGCAGATATTTAAGAAACATGCTAAGTGAACATACTAGTTTATCTGAAAAACAATACTAAATTATAAATTGAAAACATGCATAATAATGTTTGATAACCTGTCAGTTCACCAAATTATATTTCAGCACTCTGGGTTGTCTTAGAGCAGGGGTGTCCAAACTATGGCCTGCCGGCCATCTGCGGCCTGCAATCATTTTTGTGGCGGCCCGCAAGGCTTTTTTTAAATATCAATAGAATCTGGCCCGCTATACAAAAATGAACATAATTCAATAAATAACCACCTGGTGTCGCTATTACATGCATTCAATTAAGCAGCAGTTCATGTTATCTATATACACACAGTTAAAGTCAGAATTATTAGCCCCTCTTTGATTTATTTCTTCTTTTTTAAATATTTCCCAAATGATGTTTAATAGAGCAAGGACATTTTCACAGTATGTCTGATAATATTTTTCCTTCTGGAGAAAGATTTATTTGTTTATTTCGGCTAGAATAAAAGCAGTTTTTATTTTTTTATGAACCATTTTAAGGTCAAAATTATTAGCCCCTTAAGTCTTCAGAACAAACCATTGTTAAAAAATAACTTGCCTAATTACCTTAACCTGCCTAGTTAACCTAATTAACCTAGTTAAGTCTTTAAATGTCACTTTAAGCTGTATAAAAGTGTTTTGAAAAATATCTAGTCGAATATTATTTACTGTCATCATGGCAAAGATAAAATAAATCAGTTATTAGAAATGAGTTACAAAAACTAATATGTTTAGAAATGTGTGGGAAAAAAATCTCTCCGTTAAACAGAAATTTGGGAAAAAATAAACAGGGGGGCTAATAATTTAGGGGGCTAAAAATTCTGACTATATATATATACATAAATATATAAATATATAATATGCGTGTCTGTGTGATGTATGTCAAATTTCGTCCGGGACAACGTTCTTTCTTTGCATCTGGCCCTCGGCCCAAAAAGTTTGGACACCCCTGCCTTAGAGAAAAACACTGTATTTAATTTCAGTTAAGAATGCTGCCTCAATGTATGCTGGAGCAATGTGCCCTCTGCAGGACAGCAGCAACCTCCGAAATGAGACACATATTCAGTTTAAAAATCCACATTAGGTGGTATTTAAAAAGCAAATAATATTATTATTAGCTGGCAGCTAGCTTTCTGCAACTCTCACGTGGTCGCCCACTGAAGCCAAGCAGGGCTGAGCCCGGTCAGTACCTGAATGGGAGACCACATGGGAAAGCTAGGTTGGTGCCGGAAGTGGTGTTAGTGAGGCCAGCAGGGGGCGCTCAACTTGCCGTCTGTGTGGGACCAAATGCCCCAGTATAGTGACGGGGACTCTATACTTGTAGGTGAGTGCCATCTTTCGGATGAGAAGTTGAACCGAGGTCCGACTCTCTATGGTCGTTAAAAATCCCAAGATGTCCTTTAAAAAAAAAAGTGTAGGGGTTTAACCCCGGCATCCTCGCCAAATTTGCCCACTGGCCTCTGTCCATCATGGCCTCCTAACCCTCCCTATATCATAATTGGCTTCATCACTCTGTCTCTCCTCCACCAATCAGCTGGTGTGTGGTGTGTGGTCTGGCGCAAAATGGCTGCCGTCATGTCATCCAGGTGGACGCTGCACATTGGTGGTTGATAAGGAGATGCCCTCCCATTGTGTAAAGCACTTTGAGTGCCCAGAAAAGCGCTATATAAATGTAAGGAATTATTAATTAATATAAATATTATAAACGTAAGCAGCATACACTGTAACACCATGTCTTAACAACATGCAACACGACAAGATTCCAGTGACAAGCCATTTGTTTTTCTGCACCAGATGCGATAAAACAAAAACATTTAAATACCAGCCATCCAAAAGCACAGAATAGTGCATTGACTGCACTTCATTGAAATGGTAAGGTCTAGAAAGTAACTAATGCATATAATACCCCATTTAACATTATTAAAATTACTGATTGTGCTGAGTGACTGATATTTGAGTCACAGTTCTAACATTCATTTTCAAATATTTTAATTTAGTTTCAACATCTGAGGTCAACTATATGCTGCTGGTATCAATATAATCATTTAACACTGAAAAAAAAAAAACACATACTGTACAGCTACAGGAAACAAAAAACGTTTCTAAAATATAAACGCCAGAAGATGCTTTTGACAAAAACTCCTTTGACATGGAGATGATTACTTTTGTCATGTGTTGTTATGGTGTAGACTCGATGTAGTCAGTGTAGTCAATCCGGCAAGCTGGGTTTGTGTGAAGTCCTCAGAGGAGGGGCAGGATGAAAAAGTGTTTTGATATTGAATTGCAATACCTAGTTCAACCACTGGGTGTCAATCTTACATACTGCACCTTTAAATAGAATGCAACTGGGCATCTGAACAGCATGTAAAATGCTTTATATCCAGCATTTTCCCATAAAACATTATGGATTACATAATGTAGTATAATTTATAATGTGTAAATTGTTATGTATTTCATACTTATTTAAATATTTATATTTGATAAGAAGCAAAATTATGTCAAAGCACTTAAAACCCTATATCAAAATGACTGTATCAGCAGTCTTATGCTGAAAAGCAAACTGCAGACCAACATTACTTCAAAGTTTCCATTAAACCAAACGTTACTGGTTTTAATCCATGTGTGTTAGCTTTGAAGTTATTTGTATGCTAAAAGTATATCCAATTAACTGTTAACCAATTAGCTGTACAACTGAAAAATGACAGTATCTGTATTAACATCTGTATGAACATCCACGTTGAAGATATTAATAGATAAAACATTAAAAGGATAAAAAAGTGAACCTGTAACCATTGGCATTCATAAAAGAAAAACAAATAATATGTAAATCAATTGTTATAGGTAGTGGTTCAACAGAACAAAAACAAAACTGGCTCGTAACAAGAATATTTAAATTTTTGAGTAAACTATGCCTTTAAATGCCTTAAAAGATGTCCATCAGTTAATTTAAGACAGTAAGAGATTACAGTTTTTATAAATGCATGATATCAACTGGAGAACTGATTATCAAAAGCTGGGTTCAACAATATACCTTAACCTCAGCAAGCCAGCGATGAGAATCCTTCTGAAGTCCTGGAGTCAGGGTAATGGCCTACAACAACAAAAATAATAAACATAAACATCATAATTTTCCTCCACTTATCCGGGGCCGGGTCGTGGGGGCAGCAGTCTTATGTGAAAACACCAGACTTCTGATGGTCCTGAGCCCATGTAGTGATATCGCATATAGATGAATGATGATTCTTGATGCACTGCAGGGATCAGGGATCAGAGATCATGGTTGTTCAGCTTAGGCTTGTGCCCCTGTACTTCACACACTGTAATTCCTCCAGATTCCTTGAATCTTTTAATGATGGTATGCACAGTTGAAGGTGAAATATCAAAATTTCTACCTTTTTAAATGTAAGAAAGGATTAGGGGTGTCGTTTAGGGGTGAAAGTTATAGTCAATTTCGATTATCGAATCAAAAAATAGAATCGTCGATGCTGCCACGCCCCCATGTCATGTCAGCTTGGCTTGCCAAGCGGGAAAAAAACAGGCTTGTTGAAGTGCTTGTTAAACTGCAGAAGCAGGAGACCCGTCGGCAGAACTTAAACCCTCTCCTCTTTCAATGAAGTCGCCGGTGTGTAAGCATTTTGGATTTCCAGTGAGTTATGCTGACAACGTTCGTGTTGTCGACAAAAAAAAAAAACACAGTTTTGCAAGCTCTGCTATGTACGTATTACGTACGGTTCGTCCGATAGACAACACCGGCATCGCGATCCTCCGCCCGCCCCCGTTGCAAATCCACTCGCGAAAAGTACACACTCAGGCCCTGTTTACACTGTCTTTGTTTTTAAATGGCATTTAAGAACGACAACGATTTGACATCCACAGTGGCGTGTAGCATTTCTGAGCAGCCCTCCTTCCTCTCTACCTCTGAAAATGCACATCACGTGACCACACAGACACAGACGCACACACAGCCATGCGCTCGAGACAGCAGGTCCAGGCAGTCAGAGGACTGCTTCAATCTTTCACTCACTTGTACTTAGTCATTTTAGCGAACACCTCAGATTCTGTTGGCTGGTTCCTGTTGCTTGTGCGTCTTTTTTTAACGACGCCATTATAACGACACAGATCACTGCCTATTCACGAGTCCTGCAGAAAAAGTGATTGACAGGTGGTAATTATGTGTGTATCTTGCCTTTATTCATTTACTGTATGATTTGTTTATGGGTAAAACAAAGACCATACAGGTCAGGTAGTTTAAACAGTAGGCTACAAATAATTAATTGGTCATTAATTAATTAATTATTCATAATCGAAAACTGAATAGAATCATGCCTTTGGAATCGAAAATGTAATCGAATCGAGGATTTGGAGGATCGTGACACCCTTAGAAAGGATAAATATTTACAAATGAAATAAAGCTGACCGAGCAAATCATGACATAATTTGTGTTAATATTGTCTGAAATGAAATACAAGTCAAAGTTCATTTTGAAATCGCTACTTTCTTTTCTTTGTCATTTGTATTTTCCATACTGTCCCAACTTTTTCTTATTTGGGGTTGTATACACGCAGTGTTATATATATTTATACTGCATTATGCATTACAATATTGAGTTACTCCCTAAAAGGTAATTCGTTACGTTACTTCGTTACTTTTTATGTTACTTTTTTTTAAGTTACTTTTTTTTATTAATAGAGGAGCTCTGCAAACTAACAATACACAGTATGTCTGACCTACACCTTCATTTATCTTTTGTTATTTTCAGAGAAATTTCTGACATATACATATACACACACACTACTACTACTACTACTACTACTACTACTACCCTGACTACCACTAGAATAACACTGAAATAAATTGCTTAAACTTGCTCAGGGAATGTTGTATGTAGACAAAATGTACGTTAACTTTATGAAGAATCAAAAACTGCTAGAGATTTTGTTTGCATTACCTGTAAAAAAATGGCACATTTTCTTACAATTCTGTGCTCAGATTGCTGTCACTCCTACTTACGTCCAATGTATGTAATGAAGTATTGTAAAAAGTGTTGGGTAGCAAAAGTGTGCGAGCACCTCAAGTTTGGCGTCTGACAAGAACTGGCAGGCTGAGTCAATCTGAGCCCCTGTGGCATGAAGGATGGATTCCTGCTCTGTTTGGAGGCTGGCGAGCCTCTCTTGTAGCTCTGCCATAGAGTGCTCTGCAGTGTGTCTCCTCTCCTCCTCCTTCTTTGCTAGCTTCACCTACATAGGATACATTAAAAAGATGTCTGATATACAGGGTCTAAATAAATAATGTTAAAAAAATGCCTATTTATTTTTTTACCAGCCATTAAACTCTTTTTGCAAAAACAGGCAGTTTGTACTACTACTACTAGCACATGGAGTAATCATATTTACAATGTTTTTAGTGCATCATTGCAGAACATTCTAAAAAAAAAACATCAATGCTATCGATCATCTCAATTAAGATTTTTCCCCCTGCAGTTTCCTTTAATAGGATATCAATTCATTTTATTGACTAAAAGTCAGACAGTCAGTCCAGAAATCTCTCGTTTTCATAAACATTCTGATTACTACAACTCATCAGACAGAGACTTGATTCATGGTTGCACAATTACTAAAACCCTATTATGTAAAGATAGGTCTAACTGGACATTGGTTACTATAATTAATAGTGTATTTATTTAACAAAATTGGTAATATAATTTCATTTTGCACTGGTTGCCATGTCTATTTGTAGTTTTTTTTTATTTAAGTATTGTGTGGGGGTGCTAATAGTTTTTTTAAACACTCTCAAACAGCAAAGGTTTTCTGCTGCTCTCACTTTAGGACATAAACAGACTATCCTTCTCAAGCTGTTCGTTTTCATTTTAGACCAAACAGTGTTTACGATTATAAACCAGAGTACATACAGTAATCAGAGAGTGAAATTCACTACCTTTTAAGACCTTTTTAGAGACTCTTTCTATGCATTTTAAGACCTTATAACCACTTTTCAACTGGAAACACTGGCAAGATTTTAACTTGCAGTATATTTACTAAATATTAATGTGATAAACTAATCCAAAACTAAAACAATATTCATATACTGAATAAAAATCTATTAAATCTAGCTAACTCAGCAGGTTGGCACCTATAGAATTAATCGTGTTGCCTTGGTTACTGCAGTAAACAAAGCAGCATGATGTCAAATCCAGTAGGATTTTATTGATTTCATAAACTACACAGCATCCTGATGTTCACAGATTTAATTCAGGCACACTTTAGCATACATTGCATAATCAAAAAAGATTTAATTAAAAATTTAAATTAATTAGCATTTAAGACTTCTTAAAATTCTTTTTGAGGTGCTTACATTTCTCTACATTGATTTATCAACTTTTAATACTTTTTGCGACCTCGCAGACAACACCTAGAAAACAGTGTGTCGTCGTGTCCTCGAAATCAGAACCATTACCTCTAGTAATCTCCAGTTCTGCCAGTTCCAGAATCTACAGATTTCTTGTTCTCAAAGCTCAAGAGAGCCAAGTTTGCTCGTTCCATGCTTCAAGACCTGCAAGAAGATTCAACTTCTTCCAACCATGGCATCAACTGCAGAAACAACCAACACCTGCAGAAATATCCAGTTCTGCTTGTTCCAGAATCTACAGATTTCTTTTTCTTAAAGCTCAAAAGAGCCAAGTCTACTCGTTCCATGCTTCAAGACCTACAAGAAGATCCAACTTCTTCCAACCACGGCATCAACGGCAAAAACAACCAACACCTCCAGAAATATCTAGTTCTGCTTGTTCCAGAAACTACAGATTTCTTCTTCTCAAAGCTCAAGAGAGCTAAGTCTGCTGGTTCCATGCTTCAAGAACTGCAAGAAGATCCAACATCTTCCAACCACGGCATCAACGGCAGAAACAACTAACACCTCCAGGAATATCCAGTTCTGCTTGTTCCAGAAACTACAGATTTCTTCTTCTTAAAGCTCAAGATAGCCAAGTTTGCTCGTTCCATGCTTCAAGACATGCAAGAAGATCCAACTTCTTCCAACCACGGCATCAACAGCAAAAACAACCAACACCTCCGGAAATCTCCAGTTCTGTTTGTTTTAGAAACTACAGATTTCTTCTTTTTAAAGCTCAAGAGAGCTAAGTCTGCTCATTCCATGCTTCAAGACCTGCAAGAAGATCCAACTTCTTCCAACCACGGCATCAACGGCAGAAACAACCAACACCTCCAGGAATATCCAGTTCTGCTTGTTCCAGAAACTACAGATTTCTTCTTCTTAAAGCTCAAGATAGCCAAGTTTGCTCGTTCCATGCTTCAAGACCTGCAAGAAGATCCAACTTCTTCCAACCATGGCATCAACGGCAAAAACAACCAACACCTCCAGAAATATCCAGTTCTGCTTGTTCCAGAATATACAGATTTCTTCTTCTCAAAGCTCAAGAGAGCTAAGTCTGCTCGTTCCATGCTTCAAGACCTGCAAGAAGATCCAACTTCTTCCAACCACGGCATCAACGGCAGAAACAACCAACACCTCCAGGAATATCCAGTTCTGCTTGTTCCAGAAACTACAGATTTCTTCTTCTTAAAGCTCAAGATAGCCAAGTTTGCTCGTTCCATGCTTCAAGACCTGCAAGAAGATCCAACTTCTTCCAACCACGGCATCAAAAGCAAAAACAACCAACACCTCCAGAAATCTCCAGTTCTGTTTGTTTCAGAATCTACAGATTTCTTCTTTTTAAAGCTCAAGAGAGCTAAGTCTGCTCGTTCCATGCTTCAAGACCTGCAAGAAGATCCAACTTCTTCCAACCACGGCATCAGCAGCAGAAACTTGAATATTCCACTTTCCAACCCTCTAAATGAGACCTTGGCATTGTGTGTTTACGTATAAAATATTCTAACTATTCAGACGTTTATAACTGATAGTCATTAATATCAAAAACTTCTTCAGTTCCTTGTTATTGTAGTATAAGGTTTACCTTTTCTTAACTTAATCACCTTCATGACTCTCCTATGCACTTCATTTATTATACATTTAGTAATTTAGTTACCTTGTTTACTATTTTGTCAATAAATATACATTACAATTGTGTCTTCCTTGTGTCGATAATACAGTAAAAGGCTCTACAAGTCACAGAATCTCATTATCTTTTAGATTTGGCCATATAATAAACTCCTCATTTGTATATTTTAATTAACAAGATTTTATCGTTAATTATTTTGACAGTGGAAAGCTGTCTGGTGCCCCGTTTAAAATGAGTTATTGATCTGTTATTTCTACATTAATTGGTGCCCCCGCATGAGGCTAAAATATTAATATTTATAACAAATTATTGATTTTAATATTTCATTCATTCATTCATTTTCTTGTCGGCTTAGTCCCTTTAGTAATCCGGGGTCGCCACAGCAGAATGAACCGCCAACATATCCAGCAAGTTTTTTACTATATTTTGGAAACATCCACACACACATTCACACACACACTCATACACTACAGACAATTTAGCCTACCCAATTCAGCTGTACCGCATGTCTTTGGACTGTGGGGGAAACCGGAGCACCCGGAGGAAACCCACACGAACGCAGGGAGAACATGCAAACTCCACACAGAAACGGCAACTGAGCCGAGGCTCGAACCAGCGACCTTCTTGCTGTGAGGCGACAGCACTGCCTACTGTGCCACTGCTTCGCCCAATTTTAATATTTGATAAATCCAATTATCACTACAAGGCTATCCATTACCAAACACCGCCATACTCTAATTCCTGATATATCATATGCACTTTCAGACTGGAGCTCTAGAAAAAGTCTTTACCATAACTTTACCATTAAAAAACGCTGATTTAAAAAGTGAAACTGGTAGAAAGTCAGAATTACCTTCACATTCAGCTCTTTTCTGAGGATGTGGTATTTGCGGAGGAGCTGAGTAAGACTCTCCTCTCTGGTGCTCAGCTCTTCTGTAAGCTTATCACATTCAGTCTTCATTTTGTCCAGCTTTAGCTGAAGAGTTCTCCTCAGTTCACCATCTGCTAATGCCTCTGACTAGACACACAAACAATATTATCACACAGTCACCGACTTCAAGAAATCAAAGCACATTTTTAATTAAACCATTTGTCCATTTTTTTCTTGTCATTAATGTTTAAAAGAGGGCTCAAAAAAGAAATAGAGAACGAGATTAACAGAATGCTCATGACTGTAGGAGCCTTGATGGACTTTTGCTGTGAATTTATGTTTGAGTAAAGGACATGATGCAATTTTATGTTTGGAACCGTAAGAATGACAATAAAAGTTATAAGCCTGTGTAAACCAGATCCTTCCTATCTTTGTTAAACCTGCTCTGCAATGTCAATAAAACATAGATGATGAAATATATAAGGATGGTAAAGATAAAGAGGTTTAACAGCCTGATCTCACGAGGAAACGTACATATTTTACGTTTTGCCAGTTTAGTGGCTAATTCGTACGAATTCGTACGAGTTCAGTCGTACGAAATTGTACGATTTTAAAAAGTAGTGTTACATCCTATGATGTATTTAGGTAATAAGTTGTTGGTGTGAGTGGCAGCTTATTGCTCTCCCCTTTTGTTTTATTAATCGCTCTCTCTCTCTCTCTGTCTCTCTGCCTCTCTCTCTCTCATTGAGCAGCGTTCCAAACCAGCCGCACCTGTTTTCAATCAGAGCAAATCGGATGGGTTGCTGTTGATTGAGCTTCCAGGCTTTATAAAGAGGCAGAGCGGCAAAGCACGGATAGAGTCCCTGTTTTCCCTAACCCAGTGATTATAGTGTGATAGAGATTTTGTTGGATATTTAGAACTGTGAGCTTGTGAATCTTGTGAGATTATAGTGTGAATAAGCGTGACGTGTAACTTTATGTGAAAAGTAAGCCGTGTAGAGAGACAAGTGCTGATTTATTTTGGGTTTATCCTTTAAGTTTCCTCCTGTTTCTGGATTTAGCCAGGTTGTGGGGTAAGAGCATTGTCATTGATTTTGAGTTTTCTTTATATATATATATATATATATTAGGAAATCTAGAACTTTTTGTCAATTTAGGATGCTTTTGTTTTGTTGGTTATTTTGGCCTTACCCTCTCATAATGATTTTGGTTAGGATAATTTTCATTTAAGTATCTCTTTGTTTTTGTTTACCCTGTCTGGAAGTGTAAAAAAAATATTGAATTTTGTTAAACAGTGAATAAAAGATAATATTTTTCTTTTGATATCTCTTTTCAGAGTTTTTTGGTTATTATTATATCTAAAGTGAACGTATGCTGGGATAGAGAAAAAGGAGATTTTCCACGCACATTATTAAATATCAATTTATTATTAATTCGATCCAATTAAAATTTGATTTTTTTTTATTTTTTTTTTATCATAATTATTTTTTTTTTTTGTTACTTTTGTCTCCGTACCCCTAGAAAAAGGGACTAAAATGTAACAGTAGGCATGGCACCTAACCCCACCCCTAAACCCAACCGTCATTGGGTGATGAGTATATCGTACTAACATGTACGAATTAGATTGTACGAATTAGCCACTCAATGAAAAAGTTACGAATTGTCGTGAGATTGCGTTGGGTTTAATAGTAAACATTATAACCTTAAGGTCTTTGACAAGAGCCTCCAGTTCTTCACGCTCTCGCTGGTATAATATCAGCTTGTTGTGTACATCTCTATCCTGTTCTGCTTTTCCTTCCTGCAGGTGACTCAGCTCCTTTTGATGCACCAGCCTCTCCAGTTCCAGCTGTCTTCCAAAAGACGAACTCTCTTCCTGAGCCGCAGCGAGCTGTATTTCCAGGTCCTTCTTGGAACTCTCTACCTCAGCCAGTCTAGTAACGAGATCAGCTTTCGCAGCAGTCAGGTTCTTGTGTAAACTCTGAAGATCCAGCATAGATCTCTGATCCACCTCCCTCCTCTGCTCCAGCAGATCAACACGCTCCTGCAACCTGATGTTCTCCTCTCTCAAATGGAGCTGTAAGGAAATCTGCTTCTGGGTCTCCTCTTCTAGGCGTCTCATGTTTTCCTGAGCCTCCTGGAGCTTTAGTTCTGAAGTAACAAGGCGAGAACGAGCTTCGGCTAGATCCACTTCGCATCGGTGTACATCCTCTTCACGCTGAGCAAGACTTCCAAGGGCATCTGCGAGTTGCCGCCGTGTCCTTTCAGTCTGCTGGCTAAGAATGCCTGCTCTTTCTTGGTTCTGAAGAAGAAAACAAACTACTTACACATGCTACATAGAATGCAACATAAACAATGTAAATATCACAAATGAATGCAGATGTATTTATATGCTGCCCAGGCCCGGCCCTAACCAATTTGGCGCCCTAGGCCATTTCAGGTGGCGCCCCGTCACATCGCAGTAAATTCCACTGCTAGTGTAAAGTCAAAAGAAACTAAAAAGCTTTTAAATCGACTACTACAAGCTGGGAAAATGTCAGATAAATATGCCAGTGCAATTAACATTATTGCTGAATATATTTAAAATTTACACATTTGCTTAAGGAAGGAATGATGGGGTAGTTACATTAATATTACTATTTTCCAAAACATCTATGCCCTTCCATAACATTAGCTGACATAAAACTAACAGATAGCACTATAGATATTTATTAATTAGTAGGGATGTAACGGTATTGTAAATACCGTCATACCGCAATATTATTTTTTTTCGATATTACCGAAGTCGCATGACTCGGTAAAACTATAGGTCTTCTGATGCCATGGTTGGAAGAAGTTGGATCTTCTTGCATGTCTTGAAGCATGGAACGAGCAAACTTGGCTATCTTGAGCTTTAAGAAGAAGAAATCTGTAGTTTCTGGAACAAGCAGAACTGGATATTCCTGGAGGTGTTAGTTGTTTCTGCCGTTGATGCCGTGGTTGGAAGATGTTGAATCTTCTTGCAGGTCTTGAAGCATGGAACCATAGAAAATTTGCTCAGGCGAATGAAGCGAACGGGAGGTACCGGAAACTACAATTCCCATCAGCCCATGCTTGACCATCATCCCTTGCGGTCTGTTGTTGCTACAGATCCAGTAATGCGGAAATGGAGTGTGCTGCTAGAAGCGGGGATGAAAAAGAGCTGGATAGCTCTAAAGAGGATGTTGTCGCCGCGCGCGTACTGAATAGCAGTGTTGTCGCATGAGTTCTTATCAGCTGTGTTGTCGCGCGCGTACTGAATAGCGGGGTTGTCAGCACACTGTTCAGATTGATGCAGACATGAGACCTCTATCTTACTCATGGTTTGTCCTCTCAAGTGAGGGAAAGACAATGCACAACGTTACCCACTGCTGTCAACATGGGCCAAGTCATATCTCTCTTGTCCCAGAAACCTCAGTCCCAAATGAGAGGTTTATTTTTTGTTGCAGGGGACATTGTAAATGCCCAGAGATACCAGCTTTTACCAGATTATATTTATATGATAATTTTCCTTTAAACCCATCTCTATCTAAGTGAGTGAGTGATTAAATGTTGAATGTGATGAGTTTTCAACAATACTAAATTGAAACTTTATTTTTTTTACATGGTTTAATATTCTTTTGTTATTAAAATTGAAGTTCCTGTTTCAAAGCTTACAGATAGATGGCTAATTTGTATGTCATTGACACTTTTGGCACTTTTTTGGAGTATTTTCATAAGTTTTGTTTTTTCCTGTAAATGATTCAATAAATACCGTACCGTGACATTCATACCGAGGTATTACCGTACCGTGAAATTCTGATACCGTTACATCCCTACTATTAACATTATTGCTGAATAGATTTAATATTTACACATTTGCTTTAGGAAGGAATTATGGGGTAGTTACATTAATATTACTATTTTCCAAAACATCTATGCCCTTCCATAACATTAGCTGACATAAAAAACAGATAGCACTATAGATATTTATTAATTAGCAATGTTATGTCATATCTATTAACGTTGGGATGTTAAAATATGGGACAACAAATAGCTTCAAATGATAGAATACATAGCAAACAATAGAAAATATTGACAATAAAGTAAAAGGTTTAACCTATTAAAATCAATGGCCTATACAGAAATTAAATAAAGCTATAAAATCTATTTAACTTTTAATTGTATTTGCATATTGATTAAAGTTACTATAGTTATTTAGTGAAGAGCAGCTAGTGAATCTCTCATTGTGTTTTGTTTGATAACAGAGGTGTTAATGTAAGAATTCACAGATCTATAATGAATGAATAAATGAAGCATTTGACTACTTTAGTAACTGTTTGTGCTCATTTAAGATAAAATTAGTTGTGTTTAAAATAAAACAAGCAGAATAGAGCAAAAAAAAAAAAAAAAAAACGAAAAAAAAGAAGCACTTTTCCGACGGTCCCTTACGGAGAGCTCCACTCCGCGCAAGCTCAGCTCTCCCAGCTAAACGCATATCCCAGGCTAAATGGAGCAGTGCTCGTAATATCGATCGAAAAAAAAAAGAAAAAGACAGCTGTGAAACATAACCAGCTTTGTCTTTTTGTAGAAAAACACACTTTAGATCTTTTTAGGGTAAGAGGTTTTTGAGTTATTGCCATCTATCACTGAATGTGTGTCAGGAATATTGAAAACAAAACCAACTTACCCCCGCTCATTTCTGGCGCCCCCTGGATGTACAGCGCCCTTAGCATTTGCCTATACTGCCTATGCCACGGGCCGACCCTGATGCTGCCGTATTTAGGCCCGGTCAGATTACACGAATTTTCACAATTTTGGCATGATTTCCTTGACGTATGGTGTCGTGGGGATTCGTGACCAGAGATGTATAAAGTACTAGAGACCCAGACTTAAGTAAAAGTACAAGTGCTCGATCAAAAAAGTGACTTGAGTAGAAGTTGAAGTGCTCCTTAAGCGCCATACTTAAGTGGAAGAACTGAAGTATTCAACAGTTTTTGTACTTAAGTATTGCAAGTAGTATTTCAAAATTTACTAAAGTATTGAAAAGTATTAATGTAGTTATTAAAGAAAGCAGTCAAAAGACATCATGTTTATTTTGAAAGTCTTTTTTGGGGGCACGTGATTAAGCAGATCTAAAAGAAACATGGCTTACGATACTGTAATTCTCCCGCGCTTGAACCACAGATCTGACAGATTGTGACAGCTTTAACACACTCCTTTTAAAGTTGTGTGTCACAAAAACACTTTGTAATCCACTCAAAGTACTATTGAAACTCATTTTCGGATCACAAATTACCGGTTGTAAACGCTGTAAATGGAAGTTCTAAACATTCTACCGGAAGACAAGAAAAATTTCTATAACTGTAACGAGTAGGGATGTGAATCTACACTGGTCTCACGGTTTGGTTCGGTTACGATTATCATGCCATCGATTCGGTTAAATTCGATATTTTGGTGCATTGACGATGCTTTCCATACATAATTAGATTTTTTCTTCACAACACAAGAATTTAATTAAAATCTATAAATATATTATTGTTATACTATTTTGTTCTTTAATACAGCAGTAAGATATACGAACTGTCCCTTTAATTTGACCTGCTCAAGGAAAATACGTTCTGAATGTATCAAACAAAACTCCAAGACATGCACAGAAGACTGCATGAGCATTTATAGTAAATAAACTAAAGTAAACATGATCCCGCTTGCTTTTTGCGCGCTGACAGGTGAGGTCTTACATCCCTATGATTGGTTATTGCCTTCACCTGCTCAACAGAAAGAGCTGTTATTGGCTTTAGAATAAAAGCGATGGTCACCGATGGTGAGAAGAACATCCACAGTTACAGTCTGTATGCGCATAATACGCGTTATCACAGGTAATTCGTAATAGACACAGTGGAGAACACTTGCATCTCAGGCACGCTAGTGTCTGGATCCACAAGTATCGCTTTAACAGCCAAGAGGAGAGGAAAAGTTACCTCACAAACAGGCCAGCGGGTCAAATGTACAAAGTGAGAGAGAGAGGTAAAGATGGAGTTTTACAGCATTTCTCTGTAGTATTCATTTAATTTAATTTTAAAGACTTCATTTCAAACTTTGTGAGTTCTTACAGTTTACTGACTTCATATCTTTTTTCAGTAGATTAACCATTCATTCATTAATTTTCCTACGGCTTAGTCCGTTTATTCATCAGGGGTCGCCACAGCGGAATGAACCACCAACTTATCCAGTATATGATTAACACAGCGGATGCCCTTCCATCTGCAAACCAGTACTAGGAAACACCCATACGCTCTCACACATACACTACAGCCAATTTAGTTTGTGGATTAACCAGTATGGATTAATTATTCAACTCAAAAATAAATATTAAATGTGGACTAACAAAATAGTATCAGTTTAGGTTTTTAATAATGTATTAGACAACACTGAAACTAACTTAAAGATTAATAAATGTCTTTTAAAAAAAAAAAAAAAAAAAAAATATATATATATATATATATATATATATATATATACAA